AGACTCTTCTGTTGAGTTTTCCATGTGGGTAGGATTGCAAAACTCTGTTATGTAGAATATCCTTGGGGCAAGCATTCTGTGGACTGCACTTTGGATAAAGTACTGTTTTATTCCAACCTTTTCATTTCCTAGATAAGGAAATTGAGGGTGGTGGTGGTCACATGATTCGCTAAGTTTACATAGACAATGAACCTGAACGCAAACCTGGATATTTGATGCTATCTGATGTCCTGTCTACTACACTGTGTCGCCCCATTGATTGTGGAACCACGAGCAGTGTTGGACAGAGAAGTGTTTTGTTCCTAGAGTCTGCAGGGAGAAAGATACTACACACAATATGCTCTGGGAACAGTTGCCCAAGGTTTTAACACCCTTCAGGGTCCATAATTCAAGTTCTGGGAAAACCCATGAGTTGCTAAATTTATAAGCCTTCGTTTTTCATCCAGTACAGTATAAAAGGGTGCTGTGCTTTGGAGACGAATCTGCTGAAGTTCAAAATACACCTTTACTTTATTAGCTGTGTGGCTTTGGGACAAGTTATGTAGCTTCTCTGAGCCTCAGGCCTTTATCCCTCAAATTGGGGACTAATACCTTGCACGGTTTGGGTGACATTACATACATCTGAAATGGCTCTCTTCATTCGATACACGGGACCTAATTTTGTTCTTTAACAATGCCCGAATGAGATTTAAAGAATTGCTGGGTGGTTCTGGTGTTAATTGCAGCCCTTTCATTGTAGGATGTGGTGAAATTTTTTCTTCACGTTTTGTGAATGGAACCTACCTCTCTCCTGCTTCTTCTCCTCTCAGCGTCTGGCTCTGAGGTCTCTGGTGACCCTTGTGAGTCAGCATGTATTGGCACATGCTGACACATGCCATGTCCTATTCTTGAATCTACTCACCACTCTTCCATATTGACCCAGTCATGTTTCTTCTGTTGGGGCTGATAAAAGAGTTTCAGGGAAGTCCCAACTCCTTCGACTGTGGTTGTGACAACTGCAGATTTTTAAGCGAGAAGTCTTCACCCCTTCTATTTTTTGCCAGCATTAGCTATTTCCGTTCCTGGGTGCTGCTGCAGGGATCCTTGTGCAGGTTGAAGATGCGGCTTTCTTACATTCCCGCGAGCGTCTGTGTTGGCGCTTGTTGGAAAATCCTTTCTTCACTCTGGCAGAAAGGATTTTTACAGACTGCCATCCCTTTTGGCAGGGGAGAATGACTTCCAAGCAGAGAGCTGCTTGAAAGAGGCACTCCCTCATCACTTATGACTGTACTCAGTGGTTACTGCTTGTGACACATTTTCAAATGGACCCCCCAGTGGCTGCAGCTGTGATTAAAAGCTGTCTGCTCTCTGCCTCACTGGGGGTTTGCTGTTTAACCATGTCGTGCACATATATATATCTGGGCTACAGCTGCATCTTGGAAAACGTAAAGTGTTTTGTAAGATAAAAAAATCAAATGAGTACCTGAATGGCAGGCTCCTGAATTTTCTAAGCTCGAGTCACTGAGAGGCACTACTTGGGAACCTAGCCCTGGATGAGGTACATAAAAGTCATTTAAGGAAGAGGAGCTAATGGTCAGTGAATGTATACCATCTGCCAGCACATGCTTCGCACACATAGGCCGACCTGAACATCTTAAAGATTTAAGTGCTCTTGAACTTAGCAGTTGCATTTCGGCTACCCTCTGTGCTCAGGATTCAGTTTGACCATTCACAAGTAAAACAAGAACAGAATATTCTTTTTCTTTTTTTTTTTTTTTTT